AAGGAGTTTGTAAGCCGCTCTGAGACACCTTTGGGTAGTGAAGGATGGGGTATAAATCCAATCTCTTCTTCTTCTTCTGTTCCAAAACCTGGAACTGGAACTGCCTCCGTGTTCCCAAACAGCGTGTCTTGGACTAGCAGTTCTCGGGGGTCAGCAACAGGGAATGGCTTAGGCTTCCCATGCCCTTCTTGCAGGCCTGCTGGGGACGCCCTGTTGGCCGCCGTGTGAAACAGGATGCGGGACTAGGTGGACCCCTGACCTGATCCTGCATAGTTGCTAGGGTTGTACAGACAAATCACAGCCACTGTAACGATTTGCGCTAAAGATGTTTTCAAAAGAAATCTAATTCACGTAAACCATTAAAAAAACCCAACTCGTTTGTTATTATGTGTTACAGCCTTCTATAGTTTTCAGTGAGAGCACAATCATTTAACAATGAATTATCCATTTCCACAAACGTCAAAGTGTACTGCACTCATACCAGATGAAAATCAGTTCTGTGTCTCGTCTGAGTGTATTGCACTTTGCTGTTTGTGGAAATGGATAATCCATTGTTAACCATTGCTAAACGATAGCACGAATTGTTACAGTGGCAGTATTTTGTCAATACAATTGCATTTTGCACTGTAATCCTCCTAGTATAGTTGCTATGGTTGCCAGGTCCCTCCTGGTCACTGGTGGGAGATGGGTGTGTGTGTGTGTTGCCAGATGAAGGCTGGGAAACTCCTGGGGATTTGGGGATGGAGCCCGGGGAGGACAGGGACCTCAGTTGGGTACAGTGCCATAGAGTCCGCTTTCCAAAGCATCCATTTCCTCCCAGGAAACTGATCTCTGTAGTCTGGAGATGAGCTGTAATGCCAGGGGATCCCCAAGTCCCACCTAATTGTTGCTCTCACCTTCCATTGTGTCCAGAAGACAAGGACGGGGAGGAACAGGTGAGTGGAGTCGAATGACCTTCCTGGGCTCAGCAGAGACACGGTGATTACAGACCCCGCATTGTTCCCAGAAGCCACATGAGGGTGATCAGGAGAGGGGGAGAGAGAGAGAAAGCCGAGGTGAACTTGGAAGTCAGGAAGCTGATTAGAGGCTCGTGATGGAAGAGTTTGGCACCAGGCAGTCCAACTGGACATGATGTTGATTAAATGACTACAGAGGACAGAGAATGGAATGACCCCCACAAGAGAGGATCATAGAATCCTAGAATCCTAGAGTTGGAAGAGAGGATCATAGAATCCTAGAGTGGGAAGGGGCCATACAGACCATCTAGTCCAACCCCCCTGCCCAATGCAGGACCAGTCCTAAGGCAGCCGTTGAGACGAGCTGCAAAAGCAGCTGTCTTCTAGAGAGGGCGAGGAGCCGGAACCGGAACACCAATCCTTTTCCGTGTTGGCCTGGCTGAACTTCAGAGCAGGGGTCGGCTAGCTCGTCTTAATGAAAGAGCCAGACTGCCTCAAAGGCCAGAGAGCAGGAGATCAGCAAAGAGCAAGCATAAGAAAGCCCACGGCCATGACCGAAACGATGAAGCAGGGGTCGCCAACCTGGTGCCCGTGGGCACCTTGGCACCCACCTGCACTGTTCCTGGTACCAACCAAGTGCTTTTAGATACTGGGTGGAGCCGTGTGGGGCTGTTGCCTAGTAGGGCTCCTGACTGGCCATTTGAAATCTGGCTGTGCAGATTAAAAAGGGCATTGTTTCAGTGGCAACCATCGGTCACCACAGTGTTGGTTAGTTTTATTCTCTCTCTCTCCTCCTTCCCTGTGTATTTTTAGAATTAACCCTCTTTTCCCCTGCACTTGGGGAGGAGGGGTAATTGTGTGTTTTTTCCATCTCCTGGAGCTGCGGTGGCTCAAGTGTTTAAGACGCTGAACTGCAGGCTGTGGAAGGTCGGTAGTTCAGCAGTTCGAGACCCAGGTGCCGCATGATGGAGTGAGCTCCTGTCTCTAGTTCCAGCTCCTGCCAACCTAGCAGTTCGAAAGCAAGAAATTGCAAGTAGATAAATAGGTACCAAGCTCACACATTGTTCTTAGCTCAGGAAGGATGGTGCCAGAGCAAACTAGTTTATGCAGTAGCCAAATCGCTCGCTCACAACTTTAATGCCAGTAGCTCACAAAATAGAATTTTTGCTCACAAGACTCCACAGCTTAGAGGGAGCATTGGTCAGGCCTAAGTATTTATTCATTCAAACATCCTGCACTTGCTTGGAGGGTGTCTGTGTCAAGCAGCGTTCCCTCTAAGCCGAGTTAGTGTGAGCTAGCTCACAGTTTCTTAGCCTCAAGCTCACACCTTTTTGTCTTAGCCCAGGAAGGATGGCTCCAGAGCAAACTAATTTATGCAGCAGCCAAATGGCTCGCTCACAACATTAATACCAGTAGCTCACTAAGTAGAATTTTCTGCTCACAAGACTCCACAGCTTAGAGGGAGCATTACGATCCCGGTTATTCTAGCATCCTGCATAAATCCTCCCATGTACTTAAACGTTCAACAAAGCCATATTTGGTTCCCTCCTGAGGCACATCTGGCTCTAGAGCCGGAAGTTGCAGACCTCAGGACTGGTGTACCCCGTAAAAGGCTTCCTGTTGTTCACCCAAGTTCTGGACACGCTCACAACATTAATACCAGTAGCTCACTAAGTAGAATTTTCTGCTCACAAGACTCCACAGGTTAGAGGGAGCATTACGATCCCGGTTATTCTAGCATCCTGCATAAATCCTCCCATGTACTTAAACGTTCAACAAAGCCATATTTGGTTCCCTCCTGAGGCACATCTGGCTCTAGAGCCGGAAGTTGCAGACCTCAGGACTGGTGTACCCCGTAAAAGGCTTCCTGTTGTTCACCCAAGTTCTGGACACACACGCGACTCAAGGATGCTGTTTAAAATATATATTTAGGGAACTGTGTCGTCCCTGAATTTTCCTACAAGGGCGAAACTCAGGAAGCAACATATCAAAATGGATGTGAGAAGAGGGGGCCCCTGACCTGGCTAGCCCAGTCTTGTCAGTTCTTGGAAGCTAAGCAGGATCTGCCCTGGCTGGTATTTGGGTGGGAGACCTCCAAGTGAGTCCAGGGTCTGCAGAAGAAGGCAACGGCAAACCTCTCTTGCCTTGGAAACCCTACAGGGTCGCCGTAAGTCGGCTGCGGCTTGAAGGCATCTACCCCTGCTACCAACAAAAAGAGTGGACCCAATTTAATTTCTGAGTCACTTGCACTTTGGTAAATAGCTCCCTCGTCAAATGTCAAGATTTCTTAAAAGAAGGAAAAGACGGTTCCCCTGGAGAAAATGGCCACTCTGGAAGATAGACTCTGTGACATTATACCCCACTGAAGTCCCTCCCCTCCCCTCCCCTCCCCAGGGTCCACCTCCAAAATCTCCAGGTATTTCCCAACCTGGAGCTGGCAACCGTAGGCCTCAGTTTTGACTGGGTCCTTAAGTCCTCACTGCTGCACCCCCCAGAGAAGGGCAATCTGCAATACAGAGAAATGACAATAAAATTAAATTGATACTAAATTGGGAGGGGTAGCAAGTACAGTAGAAGACAGAGTCAGGATTCAGGATGATCTTGACAGGCTGGAAAATGGGGCTAAAACAAATAAAATGAATTTCAGCAGAGAAATTATCAGGGCTCTTTTTGTAGCAGGAACTTCGTTGCATATTAGGCCACACGCCCCTGATGTAGCCAATCCTCCAAGAGCTTACAGTAGCCCCTGTAAGAAGAGCTCTTGTAAGCTCTTGAAGAATTGGCTACGTTAGGGGTGTGTGGCCTAATATGCAAAGGAGTTCCTGCTACAAAAAGAGCCCTAGATAAATGCAAAGTTCTGCATTTAGGTAGGAAAGATCAAATGCATAATTATAGGGTGGGAGAGACTTGTCTTGGCAGTAGTATCTGTGAAAAGGATGTAGGGGGCTTAGTAGACCACACACTGAACATGAGTCAGCAGTGTGATGTGGTAGTTAAAAAAGCGGTAGTTTTGGGTTGTATCAACAGAAGTATAGTGTCCAGATCACACAAAGAGGTGGTATCACTTTACTCTGCTCTGGTTAGGCCTCATCTGGAGAACTGCACTCAGTTTTGAGCACCACAATTTAAGAAGGATATAGACAAGCAGGAACATGTCAAGAGGAGAGCAACGAAGATGGCGAGGGGTCTGGAGACCAAGTCCTATGAGGCAAGGTTGAAGGAGCTGGGTATGTTTAGCCTGGAGAGGAGACGGCTGAGAGGTGATAGGTGATAGGATAACCGTCTCCAAGTACTTGAAGGGCTGTCATCTAGAGGATGGTGTGGAGTTGTTTTCCTTCTTGTCAGCAAGCTGCCATTCTGTTTTCTGTGACCTCTGTGTACATATCCTTTCCCTGTTACACCCGGCTTGGCTTCTATCATCCTGTTCCTGCTTTGGAATGCAAAAGATAACTGCTGGAGGTTGTGTGGGGGAGAAGATGCTGTAATGCTTGCCTATTGATTTTCCCAGGACTACTGCACCTGTGTTTTGTCTGATGTTCTGCCTGGTTCTCATGTACTGGGCGCGCAACCGTTTCCTTAGCCCGCCAGCGGGAAAGATATTCATTGGATCTGTATCTGTTTGAAGTTCCTTTATTATGCTTGACCTAACTGTGTATCCCCAGTTCTAACAAAGAACGTGTTTGAGTATGTCTTCAACGCTTTGAAATAAATTTTGCTTTTCTTTAAAACGTGGATTTATTCTCGATGCTTGGGGATCCAACAGCCACACAGTTTAACATTCCTGTCTGTAGATGTGTGTATTATTAATCCATAAAGTTTGCAGCTCAAACACCTTTGTCAGGAAGCAGCACACAGAAGGTTTCCCAAGATGGAATAAACATACACAGGCGTATCCCCCCTTTGTGCCAATAATCTGTGCATGGTTTGCACTTGAATTCTTGGCAGCGGTCCAGCTCTGTGATTCTATGATTCTAACTCGGCATGTTTGCTTAATTCACCTCTAATTGTGCACCCGCATTTAAAGCCAAAGCCAGCCCACAATGCTCAGAGAAAGCAGCATTTTTATTGTCATAAAAGGCACTTGCTAGGCTCACGGGGTGCAGAAGAAACACACAACAAGGTCAGCAAAGCCATGAGAACAAGGCCGGATATGGGAAGGTTTTCCTGCGGGGGTCTGCTTTAAGCAGCAAGTGCTTCCTTCTGGCTCACAGGAGCCTCCGAATCCAACGCCTCACAACAAGAAAATGACACTTAGCCGGCATGTGTCACTATCGCCCTCTGCTGGAGAGAAAGTGAATGGCTCCGTGCCAGAGAAAGCTATTGTACTTCAATCTAGATTGGTGGTTCCCATAGAGCCACATTTGCACTTACTCCATCGACAAAAAAGGGCCGCATATAGTTACATTCCTGAGGCCTGCACCACTGCAAAGCTCGTGGTCGACCCATTCCACCAACAGTGGCTGTTTCAAGGTGGGAACCACCTACCAAAAGCAAGCCCCGCCAGGCAAAGGTCTTGCCCATTTAACCGAAACATGGGGCAGGTTGCACACCAGAGAACAGTGCTCAGAAGAGCCACAGGTGGTGGGTCAAAGAGCCACCTGTGGCTCCTGAATCACTGTATGTCACAGATCTAGACACCAGGGAGCTAAAGCTAGAGAGAGAGAGCACGGTTTTCTAGGGGACCAAAGGTGGCACAGAACAGGCACCGCTGCCCGTTTTATTTCATCTCGTTGCCACGAAGGCTCAGGCACCAAGGAGCAGACACCCCATGGCCCTCTCTGCCCTCTGTCGCATCCCACACAAACCCCTCTGGGAAGAAAACTGCCTCCAGTCTTCCTGTTGGACCAGATTTCTGGGCTTCTGAATCCAGACAGACCAGGCGGCATAGCTAGATGAAAAGCCAAAGGGGATTCCAGCAGCATTCTGTCCACACACCGCCCAAGGCAGGGGGACAGAACAGGCAAGATGGAGGTGCTGAGAGGCTAACCTGTCACCTCTGCCACCCTCTGAGACGTGGCTTAACTTTGATTATTCTGAAGGGCTCCTTACTCACAACAGGTCTTTCCCTGCTAGTGCTGTGGTGAGAAGACCACTCATTTGACCCAGGAAGTGGATCAGGGGGCCCTCAGAGAAGCAGAGGGCAGGGAGCAGGAGTTGGAGCCTCACTTGGTTCCTCGGAGGCCGAGACGCCAGCTATGCAAGAATGGGGCATTCTGAGAACCAATGACCTGTGCCCAAGCGGGCTCGTCTAATTGGCTACCTGACCAAGCTCCAAACCCTGACGTTGCTCATTCATTAGTTTGCACCTACAGGTCGAGAAACAGAGATGCACGTTTTCCTCCAAGAGGATGGTATGTTTACTTGGCGGGAAATGCCTGCCCTTCCAAGAGTTTGGCCACAGATGGTCCAGAACTGGGCTAAAGGGCTTCTCGGTGACACCGAATGGGTCACGTGTCACTCAGTGACAGCACCCTGCAAAGGCTGACTGGCCAGTGAGAGAAAACCTTATTTTTGCATGACTGGAGCGCCACCAGTCCTTTAGCCGGCACGAGTCACTATCGCCCTCTGCTGGAGAGAAAGTGAATGGCTCTGTGCCAGAGAACGCTATTGTATTTCAGTCCAGACCAGTGGTTCACAAGACAGACACCCCAGGGGGACCCGACCCCCCTCTTATTTTCATAACCTGGGATGAAACCGAGCTATCAGCACTACGCCCTGACCTCAACGGTCCAGGATTGCCTGCTCTCGTCAGATCTTGGAAGCTAAGCAGGGTCGGCCCTGGTTAGTACTTGGAGGGGAGACCGCCAAGGAAGCCCAAGGTTGGTGCACAAAGGCAGGCATTGGCAGAACCACCTCTGAAGGTCTCTCGCCTTGAAAACCTGACAGGGTTACCATAAGTCAGCTGCAACTTGACAGACACAAATCACACACTGCCCCTTGACAGGATCTCTGTTTTCTTAGGAAGGCTCTCGATTACAGTTTAGGGAGGAAGTGCCTGCAGACGCCGCATCCCCCATCGCCTAGCACTAGTATCAAAGCTTCGATATTATCCTCATCTCTATGAGACAAAAGAGCAGCAGAGGTCAAGCAGGAAGCTTAAGGAGAAGCTCTGGGAGTTCGCCGGGGCTCAACGGCCCCCCCGAAGGCATCTGGCCCAGGATCCGCTTGGCCAGCTGGGGCCTGTGGCTGGGCGGGGGGGGGGAGATCTAGGGCGAGAACTGTGACGTGGGGGGGGGCAGCACTGTGTGGATCCAGCGGACAGCAGCATCTTGGAGGCAGCCTAGAAGGAGGGAAGGAAAAGGAAGTCAATCAAGTCCATGGGAGCAAGTTCAATAGGAAGAACATAAGAATGTTAAGACGAGACCTGCTGGATCAGACCGGTGGTCCATCTAGTCCAGCCTCCTGTCTCACACAGTGGCCAACCAGTTCCTCTGGAGGGCCAGCAACAGGGCAGAGAGGCCGAGGCCTTCCCCTGATGTTGCCTCCTGGCTCTGGGATTCAGAGGCTTAGTGCCTCTGAACCTGGAGGTTCCCCTCAGCCACCGTGGCTAGTAGCCACTGATAGACTTATCCTCCGTGAATCGATCTAATCCTCTTTATTCCTGTGGCCATCACGACATCCTCCGGCAGCAAATTCCACATTTTAATCGCTCTCTGTGTAAAGTAGTATTTCCTTTCGTTCATCCTGAACCTACTGCCCATCAGCTTCATTGGCTGCCCTCAAATTCTAGTATTTTGGGAGAGGGTGACAAAGTTCACATCGTCAGCTGTCTCCATCCCATGCATCATTTTATAAACCTCTATCGTGTCCCCCCTTAGTCGTCTCTTTTCTATATAAACTCAGAAGTCACAATGCACAAAAGGACTTACGAAATCCCAAACTGGTCCACTTCTCCATATTACCTTTCTCAGTAAGATGCTCTCCTAACTGTTTTTCAGGGTCCTTTGAAATCGCAGTCGAGTTCTGTTTGTGGTAGGCAAGACCCGCACCTTAAGAACTCAGCTATGTGTGCCCTGACCTGGATAGCCCAGGCAAGCCCGATCCTGTTATGTAATATGCAAAGGAGTTCCTGCTACAAAAAGTTCTCTTTGTGGTAGGCAAGACCTTAAGAACTCAACTATGTGTGACCTGACCTGGATAGCCCAGGCAAGCCCAATCCTGTTATGTCTTGGAAGCTGAGTAGGGCCAGCCCTGGCAAGGATTTGGATGGGAGACCTCCAAGGAACGCCAGAGGCAGGCGATCCAGCCACTTCTCTGAATGTCCCCCGTGCCCCAGTAGGAGTTGCCAGAGGGCGCCATGACTTCCAGGCACAGGTGCACACACATGCACGCGCGCGCACACACACACACGTATAAAAAAGAAAAGAACTTAGCTATGTGTGATGCTAGGAATTCCGGGAACTGAGATCTCAACACTTACTTATTTATTTAGATTTAATTTTTTTTCTGATGCAGGGGCCTTAATGCTAAATGCAACGTGTCAGTTTCCGGTTCTGCAGGGATATGCCAATTAAAAAGGTAAAGGTTCTCTTGCTCGAAAGCCAGTTGAGTCCGACTCTAGGGTTGCGGTGCTCATCTACGTTTTTTACCATTGTTTTTAAAGCTCAAAGATAACCTCCAGCGGCATAGGGGAGAATGGCAGGCGCGGGAGCAAAGGAAGTGGTGCTGAGGTTGATGGGACCCGTAAAAACACACCCCTCAGCCACACAGCGAACAGAAGTGGTTTGATTGTGATCTTTGCCAAACCAGAGATCTCAACACTTACTTATTTATTTAGATTTAATTTTTTTTCTGATGCAGGGGCCTTAATGCTAAATGCAACGTGTCGGTTTCCGGTTCTGCAGGGATATGCCAATTACCACTGTTTTTAAAGCTCAAAGATAACCTCCAGCAGCACAGGGGAGAATAGCAGGCGTGGGAGCAAAGGAAGTGGTTCTGAAGTTGATGGGACCTGTAAAAACGCACACCTCAGCCACACAGTGAACAGAAGTGGGAGCAAGCTAGGCTTGGGAAAGACTGGAGAAAAGCGGGGAAGAACCCAGAAAGATGACAATTAGGGAATGATGTCATATGGATGCTCCTTTTTAAAAAAATATACCACTTCATTCTGAATGCCAAACTGGAACAAGACCTCCATGTGGAAGCAACCTAAGCTTTCTAGGGCAAATGCATTTCATAATTTTTCAGACTTCGATCCAGAGGTCGTATTTATTTATAACGGTTTTAAATGCGACAGGGGCTCCGTGTAGATGTCTCTGTTGTCTCGTTACGCTGAGTCCCCTTAACGGGGGAGAAAGGTGGGATGCAAATATTTTTCACAAACAAGCGGCTCACCGGTTCTGACCGTCTTCTATCTCATCCTGGTGGACAAGCCTAAAGAGGAAGCAGAAAGACACTGTTTTAACGGCCTGTCTCCATGAAATAAGTGATTTCTATCCAGCCTGATCAGGGACAGTTGGTCACCTCCAGGGTCTGCTGCCCTATGCTAGACTAAAGCATCCCTGACTGCATATCTGGCTTCCGAGTCAAATTCCGCAACAGATGCACAGTGACTGTCCAAGCAAAGACATGGTTAACAGTTATCATTCTCATGATGTAGATTTGTGTCATCCCAGGGGAATCCCTCTTTTGGAGAGGACTGTTACATCACCCCACTGTATGAACAGGAAAGTTGTGGCTTGAATTATATTCTCTTTGCAGTTTGAGGTCATTCCTAGGGTATGCCTCGGTGTGTGTGGGGGTGGGGTGGGGGGGTTGCCTCTCACCAGGTGTCCTAAGAGACACCAGATCCATGCATATTTTTTAACCTCCCTCTAGCAATACACTCTGCAGAACCTAGAATCTAGTGCAAAAGTGGGCACAGCGGCTGCTTTCGAAAAAGAGTTTCTGGTCCTCAAAGGTTTTGAAGAAAAGAGGGACCAAGCAGGGGAATGGGAATAAGGAAGAATCGAGTCTACTGGATCTTACGCCGGATCGAGTTGCGCAGGGTCCCTTCCTCCTCGTCAGGTTCCCCGGTCCTGGGAGAAGAACAAAACAGGTCAAGCAGAAATGTCCCATCTTGGCAACCAACTTCAAGGTTTGCTTACCCCTTTTATTCCCTTCGCATTTCAAACAAATAGTTGAACAACAGCGCCCCCTGCTGACAGTTCAGCGCACAAATATTGATGCCCAGTTCAGAGCCTCGCAGCCACGTTAACCCTGTGGAGGTGGCTGTAGAATTACATCAGCAGAGATGCTGCAGGGGAGCAGAGTCTCTCTCTCTCTCTCTGCCTACCCTACCTCACAGGGCTGTTGTGAGGATAAAGTGGGGGGGGCAAATGATGATGTAAACCACTGTGGGTATCCATCGGGGAGAAAAGCAGGGTACAGAAGAATAAAAATCAATCTATCCATTCATTTCTACCAAACTCAGGACCACACACCACAACTGCACAACCAAGGTAGGAGCAATGCAACGAGGGTTGCCAACTCTAACTTGGGAAGTTCCCGGGAGATTTGGGGGTGAAGCGTGGGTAGTGTGGAGTTGGGGGTTCAGGAGGGATGTAATGCTAGAGAGTCTACCCTCCAAAGGTGTGGTTTTCTCCAGGGGAATGGATCTTCCAGCCACCACAGTTCTGAGATCCCGTTTTCCCCTTTTCTTTGCTGGGCCACAGCCACCTACGAAAGATACAGCTCCTACCCTACCCCTCGCCTAGTTAAGCATCTGAAGAGAAAAAAAACGTTTTACCTTTGTTGCTGGTTGAATTTGCAACGGCAGCGTCGACCTTGGAAAAGGAAAAGAAAAGAGCCCATCACAATTAGCTGCAAAAGACAAGAAGTCCAAGAGCCAGCACTCTCGAGGCCAGGTCTACCACCGCTATTCCCAAGAGTTGGGGGAGACTAATTCTTAGGAAGCCAGGTCTATGTCCATTGTTTCCAATGGGTGGTAGACCTGTCATCCATAGGCCTGTTCTACTAGTGGCTTTTCCAAAGGCTAGTAGTAGCCCCGCTCCTCAGAGGTCCAGCTTACCACTGCTGGGACCAAAGGTCAATAGATGTGGCTTCCAGGGAACTGGTCTACCACCATGGTTTCCAAGGGTTGAGCAGGGACTGGTAGTTCTCTGGAGGACAGGCCAAACTCTGTCGTTTCCAATGGGCAGGAGACCTGTTGTTCAGAGGCCAGACCTCTTTCAGAGTCCTTCTGGAGCATCTAGGCCAATCCATCAACCTGGACCTCTGGTGCTCAGTTCCCACCTGAGGCCTCGACACTCTCATACTCCACTGTGCTTCTGAGAGGTCTGACCAGTGATTAGAACCGAAAGCAACCCAGAAGCCCCACACCTCAAAGCACAGGCGTCATATGTACAAGGTCCCACGTCAAGATAGGGAAGGCAACGCCCCTTGGAAAGCTGGTGGCAGTCACAGCTTGGCAGTGCTGGGGCTGGGCAGACCAGGGCCAGACGGAGAAACTACCCATGATGCTCAGCGGCACACAGCTGATCCCCCAAGGTTTCTTTTACGAAACGTACTCACAGAGGTCACACACTGCATATAAAACTAGTGCACTGACAGGACAGTAGAAGGCGGGGGCGATCTACTCACTGAGCACAATGAGAATGCCGGGGATGAACAAGACGACAGCAAAA